GCAATAGATGTACTTGCTATAAAAAAAAAAAACAAAAAACAAAAACCAAACCTTTATTCATTATATTTAAAAAGAAATTACCAGATTCTGATAAGTGCAGTTCTCGCTATGCTGATTCCTCCAAGGTGGGCAGAGCAGAGGAATCTCTCCGCAGTGGGCTACACAGAGCAGTCAGCATGACTGTGCAATATGAATCCCTCCGCGCTGGCGCCTTCATGCCGCTCCCCACATGCTTCCTTGAAGGGCTGTGCTAGTGACTGCAGCTTCCATAGTGCAAGACACAGGTTGCCGGTCCTGTTACTAAGTAACTATACCTGGTGGTGTCCTGGCCCCACTCAGGGCTGCTTCAGCGTAAGTCATTTTGTGAAAGAGAAGATCTCTCTTCAGACACACTGTGGTAGAGTTGTTTTAAGGGAGTTATAAATCCTTGGGTCTCAACTGGAGGAAAACTGGTGTTGCCAGTTTCTTATAATTCACTGGGCTCTTGATTTTTTAACTAGGGTATTTAGCCAGAACTGTCCTCATGGTTTGGCGTTTCAGTAGCTTCTTGACTCCCTCAGTAATCATGATGAGACAGTGGCCTTACCCTAGCAGTAGGCGCCCTCGTGGTTAATGTGTAACTGATCACCTTACCCCGAAGGAAGGCACTTCCCTAGTTCTCTGGCTGGTTAATATTGGCCTGGGTATTTCACCAGGTGTATTTAGATATGATTAGAAAAACTACTCTAGTTCTGTGAGACCATTCTTTCATTACCTTCAGCTTCCACTCTCCAAAGCAATGTAAAAATCTTAGAAATTTAGATTGTTTAGTAGGATGATAATATGAATTAGTGGAAAGCTAAGAAATACTTTAATGGTAGTTGTCCTGGGGTTGAGGAAGAGGAGGGATCATTCAGAATCTTACAGACGTCTATGGCTGTACCACCCTGAACGTGCCTGATCTCCTCAAACTCTTAGAGAAATCATATTGTCACTAATTTTTGTTATTAAGTAAGGTGTGGGGAAACATTCCAGTACTGATATTTTACTTGGCGTTTATTTGTTTACATTTCCGGCTTCACCAAAACTTAGGTAGAGAGAAGCTAGTCATTAGAATCTGACCTCAGAGGAGCATAGTAAAATATGTTGCTGGCATCTGACCTTGGTATGGTCAGGGCGTTTGAACCAGAGATGGACAGGTGGGCCACACTGATTGGCCTTTGTTTCTGCCCCACTTTCAGGTATGGATTTTCTAAATGGCAGCCCAGTCGGCCTGTGTTTGTGGAAGGCTGCTAAGAGGGGAACTGTGAGGATGATGGTTAGCCCTGTTTTGGTTGGTATTGTCTTGGTAATGTAACTGGAAAAACCTGTCTGAGTATTCTGCAGATAGTAAGCTTCAGGGAATGTATTCTCCCACTAATAAACCTGTAAAAGGAGTCAAAGGTGGGACACTGAAACTAATCACCCATTTAATAAGGTGGGCTTTGCTTGAGAAGCCAAGGGTGGTTGGTATCAGTTGTGTGGGAACCCTCCTTAGGAAGGGAGAGCATGTGCTACAGAGCAAGCTTACATTTTCAGGTTTACTTTTCTGAGAGACAGTTCCTTTTGCAAAAGAAAATCTTTAACATTTTAAAATCTTTAAATTTTTTAGGAGGAGCCCATCAACTAATTAGCACAAACTGTTTCACAAAGTTTTGAGAGTAAGATTATGCTTTTGTATCCTTTCTTAAATTAGTTTCTTAGATATTTCTTTGAATTGTTAGCACAAATAGATTCAGTAGTGACTTCTAAATAACTTGGTGGTGGAGCTATGAAGGGTCATAGAAAAGCTCTGGATTAGAGTTAAGAAACCTAATTTCAGTTGTGGTTCTTTGGGTACTATAGCTACAGGACTGTGTTCAGTTGTTCGCTGACTTAGCCTGGGTCTTTATATGTAAAGTTAGGGCACTGATGCACTTATTCTACAGGTAGGCACAGCAACCCTAAACCCCATGGCTCTGACCGAGCATGCTGTCGTCTGGCCTGCCCTCAGTTCTTCACCCCTGAATGTAGGACCTGGGTGGGTGGGCGATCTTCTCCCTCTTTCCCTCCCCCAACGCTCTGTGGTTCTGACCCTCAGTGTGGGTGTTCCAGCCCCTTCACCACGTGCCCTTAGAAAAGCTTATTATCTGCCTCCAGATTTAACCAGTTGGAGCTTGTAATTACATAAAATTATACACGTGTTGCTGGAGGTTAGCGCCATAGTAAGAGACAGCCATCAGAAAATCCATATGGGGCGTTTGAAGTTCTATACATCGTTTTGTTCTTTTTCTCAGTAGGCTTGGGATTGTGAAAGTAAAATACATTTAAAACATATTGTTCCTAGATGCTTTTAAAGATTGCACATTCATTGTGGGTTTTGTTGTGAACCCACCTTGAATATAGAGCAAAGGGGGCTATCCAGGTGGGAAGAATCAGGGAGGTGTCCACATGCTCCCATAGTCTCAGGAACTCCCAAAGCTGGTGTTTTTGTGTTTTTATTCGGTACGTCAAGTCATCTGAGTACTCAATAATGGGACCACCATGCACTGACTGCTTTTTGAACCACGCAGCATACATACCAAGAGCGTACTTCATACCTGATGCATAAAATATTTTACTTTTTTAAGCCAAATGTGGTGGCGCGTGACTGTAATCCCAGCACTCTGGAGGCTGAGGCAGGAGGATAGTTGAGAGTTCGAGATCAGCCTGGACTATAAAGTGAGCTCAATGCCAACCGGCACTGCATAGCGAGACCCTGTCTCAAAAAGACAAGAAGTTTTACTTTTTAAAGAAATACAGTTTCTGATCCATTAGTAGAGATGCCATTATTCTTTTTAAAAACCATGAGTAAAAGGAAAGCAGGATATACAGTCTCCTGGGCAACACTTCTGCCATCACATACTCAGCTTGTTGCCTGTTTGGCTTCTCTGAAATGTGTTTTGATGGTGCTGTACTTGTAGAGATGCCAACTTATGATCTATGATTCCTAATGTGCACTGCCCAGCCTGAACTGCCATCCCTTCTTGTACGGAAACATACCCAGGAGAGACTGAGTACTTTGGGTTATTTACTTACAGTAAAAATCCTGCTGATTTTCTACATTTTAAAAACATTCTGGTAGAACACATGTATTTGTATCTTTTACATAAATATAGTTGATGATTGCCAATTTTTTTTTTTAAAAAATGGTAACTTTTAGGACTGTTCATATTTAATGTATAGCATCAGGCAATATCTTTTATCTTTAACTTCCAAATGAAAACTCATCTACAGTACCTGTAGGTACTGTTCCAGATGTGGAGAACACTGTGTACTCCTCTTTTGTACTGCGTGTGAGGCATTTTACAGATGAGAATGAGCCTGCCCCAGGCCATGAATTGTCTTTGCTACAGACTCTGCACTTTATAAGAGCAGCATGAACACCCTGACTTCATGGCGTGACTAGTTTCCGAGTATATTATTGTCTGGCATGGTTATGTCATTCCTAGCAGGGAGAGCACTTGGATATTATTAAAGCCATAATGAAGATGGGAAACTACAGCTGTTGCAGACAGATTAGATTATTTGTTCAGGGTCATGTGGTAGGTCATTGACAGATAGGGTTGCATCTGGGTCAGCCCTATCGACTGGGTATATCCACTAAGCTAGGAGGAAAATTCTTGCAAGATGGGTACCGTAGTCATTAGGGCTTTGAAATATCTGCCCTACTTTTAAAACATCATTTATTTTTAGAATAGTTATAGATAATACAGAAAAGTTACAAAGACAGTATGGAGTTTCCATGTATGCAGCATCAAGTTTCCCCTGTCAACATCATACAGTACGGTACATGTCACAACTGATGAGCCAATGATGATACATTATTATGAGCTGAAGTCCCTGTGTTAGTCACGCTGTCCTCATTTAATATTCTAGTATTGTTTTAGCTGTCATGCCTTTGGGGTTCTTTGTGGCTATGTCAGTTTTGAGGAAAACTGAGTAGGCATTTTGTAGATGTCACTTAATTGGGATTTGTGTGATGTTTTTCTCATGATTTGATTGGGATTATGGTTTGAGGAGGAAAACTGCAGAAGAAGTTGCCATTTTCACCACATTGTGCCAGGAGCACATACTGTCAGCATGACTAGTACCTGTTGATACTGACCTTGGTCACCTGCTTGAGACAGTGTCAGTCAGCATACTTTTCCTCCCCTTTCCGTACTGTATTCTGCAGCTCACCTTCTCTGTGTTGTGGGAAGAGTATCTATATAAATTGTTTGAATTCTCCTGCACAGGAGACTTGCCTACTTCTTTTATCAACCTAGAAAATCATGTTCTACCATTCTTATGTCTGCCAAACGTTATATAATACGTGAAATTGGGTCATGATGGAGTTACAGAAAGAATAGATAAAAGCTGTATTATTTCTGTCTTCATCAAAGTGGTTAAGAAGAGATAGATGTTGGAGGAAGGGACCCAGGTGATGAATTACCCTCAGAGACTCAGGGATGTTTGTTGCAAAGGGGAGGGGGGGAGTAGTGGGTAGTAAACTACAAATATGAACTGTAATGTACGAAATATAATTATAAAAAGGACAATAAAACTTAGGAATTTGGAAAAAAACAATGTTATTGAGCTTCTGTGTTCATAATATCTCCTGGATATGAAACCACCTTCCCACCTCCTAGACGTAACACCTTCTATTATAACATGTGTCAGCTGGGCATGGTGGTACACGCCTGTTATGCTAGCACTCAGGCGGCTGAGACAGGAGGATCGTTACGAGTTTGAGACCAGCCTGGGCTACAAAGTGAACTCAAGGCCAGCCTGAACTGCATAGCAAGACCCTGTCTCAAAAAAAAAAAAAAAAGAAAAAAAAAAAACATGTTGTCATTTTATTCTGAATCAAGCAGGGGTGCTCCTAATGTTTATTTTTTTATTATTTTTTTGCCTCAGAAATTGGGGAGGAGGATTTGGACCATTCTGGCTCGCATGGTGAAATTTCCCTTCTCTTTCTGCAGAACTCTATCCGGCATAACCTGTCACTGCACAGTCGATTCATGAGGGTCCAGAACGAGGGGACTGGCAAGAGCTCGTGGTGGATCATCAATCCTGATGGGGGCAAGAGCGGCAAGGCCCCCCGACGGCGGGCCGTCTCCATGGACAACAGCAACAAGTACACCAAGAGCCGCGGTCGAGCAGCCAAGAAGAAGGCAGCTTTGCAGACTGCCCCAGAGTCTGCGGACGACAGTCCTTCCCAGCTCTCCAAGTGGCCTGGCAGCCCCACCTCCCGCAGCAGCGACGAGCTAGATGCATGGACAGACTTCCGTTCACGTACCAATTCCAATGCCAGCACAGTGAGCGGCCGCCTGTCACCTATCCTGGCAAGCACAGAGCTGGATGACGTCCAAGACGACGACGCACCACTCTCCCCCATGTTGTACAGCAGCTCAGCCAGCTTGTCACCCTCTGTAAGCAAGCCATGCACCGTGGAGCTGCCGCGGCTGACTGACATGGCAGGCACCATGAATCTGAATGATGGGCTGGCTGACAACCTCATGGATGACCTGTTGGATAATATCACGCTGCAGTCGTCCCAGCCCTCACCCACTGGGGGGCTCATGCAGCGCAGCTCTAGCTTCCCATACACCACAAAAGGGACTGGCCTAGGCTCTCCAACCAGCTCCTTTAACAGCACAGTGTTTGGACCCTCGTCCCTGAACTCCTTGCGCCAGTCTCCCATGCAGACCATCCAAGAGAACAAGCCAGCCACCTTCTCTTCCATGTCACACTATGGCAACCAGACACTCCAAGACCTGCTCACTTCTGACTCGCTCAGCCACAGCGATGTCATGATGACCCAGTCAGACCCCTTGATGTCCCAGGCCAGCACCGCTGTGTCTGCCCAGAACTCCCGCCGGAATGTGATGCTTCGCAATGACCCAATGATGTCCTTTGCTGCCCAGCCTAACCAGGGGAGTTTGGTCAATCAGAACTTGCTCCACCACCAGCACCAAACCCAGGGCGCTCTAGGTGGCAGCCGTGCCTTGTCGAATTCTGTCAGCAACATGGGCTTGAGTGACTCCAGCAGCCTCGGGTCAGCCAAACACCAGCAGCAGTCTCCTGTCAGCCAGTCTATGCAAACCCTCTCGGACTCTCTCTCAGGCTCTTCCTTGTACTCAGCTAGTGCAAACCTTCCCGTCATGGGCCATGAGAAGTTCCCCAGCGACTTGGACCTGGACATGTTCAATGGGAGCTTGGAATGTGACATGGAGTCCATCATCCGAAGTGAACTCATGGATGCGGATGGGTTGGATTTTAACTTTGACTCCCTCATCTCCACACAGAACGTAGTTGGTTTGAACGTGGGGAACTTCACAGGTGCTAAGCAGGCCTCATCTCAGAGCTGGGTACCAGGCTGAAGGATCACTGAGGAAAGGGGAAGTGGGCAAAGCAGGTCAGTGCCCAGCACTACAGCATAACAAGGTGGGGTGATGGGGAGCCTCTCTTCTGCTTGCTTTGAATTTCGTGTGGAGCACTGTGGAGCAGCAGTGCGCAGTACCATGGCTCCCAGCCTGTGCATCTCAGAGTTACCTGCAGCCAGATAGGGTACCAGGCACACTTCCCCACAGTTTGCTGACAGCTCGGAGATTTTACCACCAGTGAAAAGAATGCACATGTGCGGGAGCACATGCGCGCATACACACACTCACACACAGAGGTCTCATTCTTCCTGGTATCTCTCATCCTTGCTGAGCTATGACACAGTTGCTCTCTACGATGGAGGGTGAGAGTAAGAGGTGAAGGGTGGAAGGAGAAGTTTAGGCCATGTGTCAGGGTGAAGGATGCAAGCCGAAGCACTTTCATAGAAGGACTTGGATCCAACACCATCTTTGTTGATCTGGTGTTGTGGTTTCATCTTTTTTCCAGTAAAGTAACAATTTGCAGTAACTGCAATTTAATTGCAAAATGTGTGATTCTGGACTCTCTCATATATATGAGTACTTTGACCAGACACAAAGTCTGGTTCTTCATGTTTTTTAGTTAGCATACTACTAAGCATCTTTGTTAGCTAGCACTCATGATGTAAGCATTTAAGAAAGCAAAAGAACTGAATTAAAAACACAAGTTTTTATATGAGGGACACACATGTGCATGTCCTTGTTCCTCAGCTTATGAGTGAAATGATGTCAGAGTCACCTGGGTTGGGGCTGGTGACAGAATTTGTAAGGTGATGACTATTGTGAACAGAGGGAGCAAGTAGTATGTTAAGAAAAGCATTTGATTGGAATCAGGAGTTGAGGGCTTAGCCCCACGTCTGTTGCTTTCTGGCTGCCTTCATGAGCTTGTCACCGAGCCTCAGTTTCTCTTGTATGTTGTCCTGTTGCAGAGTTATTGCAAGAATTAAGCGGATGATAGCACGTGACAACGCTTTGTAAAATGCAGCAGGTTGAAATGCATAGAGTGCAGTTAGGGAAATGCATTGACCAAGGAGCAGGAGAGAGCCCAGAGAGCTTACGTAGTTTTCCAAGGTCACGTGGCTGGACCCCAAAGCCATGTTGCTTAATTGGCTTGAACCATAGTAGTTGTTCCTCATTTTTTGAAGGTCGTGAAAAAGAGGATGTGCTGTGGACAGAGCCAGGTGGCAGATAATAGACAGGCTTGCCCTGGAGCTGTTACTCTTGAGGAGGGAAGCCCTGGGGGCTTCTGCCACAGGTTTGCACCCCACACCCCCATGTTAAGGATTCTATTCTGTGCCCCGGCTCCCTGGTTTTTTCTTCTTCATTTAAAGTCAGTTCTCCAAGCTGTTTATCCCTTTCTTTAAATTGTGTGGAAGAGAAAAGGAATTCAAAGCTATAAAAGCCCAGCCTTGTTTAACCCTGCCGTAGCAAAGGAATTACAAGGGTCCCCTATGGTGAGCTCACTGGAGCCTGTGGGCAGCTGTAGAAAGGGGAATGTCAAGAGCCTCGTGAGGCCAAAGCCTCTCAGCTGGCCAGGCATAAGCAGGCCCCTAATGGAACCCACACATCTGTTCTCGTCATTGAATAGCTCTTGAGCTGGTGAAAGAACGTAATGGAAGCTGAAGAGGATGACAGTGCTTCTGTGCCAGCCACTTCGTACCGTACCAGAGCTTGGGCTGCTAGAGGTTGGACTTTAGAAATATAGGCATTTGACTTTTGGAAAAATAAATAATTTGTCTTCTTGTAAGAGGAGTGCAGTTGTAGGTTCTACGGACTCACGTTTTAATCCGGCTGTAGTTAGAAGGAAGCCACTTCCCAGTTCACTGGAAAGAACGAGTCCAGAAGAAAATGTACCATCACTTTCTGTGATTTTTCAGTTGTACATTCACTTTTAATTGAATAGTAGACATTTCTTACTGTCTGTGTTTATGACACATTATACAAAAATCCTTTAAGGGAATTTAAATACATAGGTTTAAAAATTTTCTTTGATGGCTATGGTTTTTTGATAATGAGAAATTAATGCTTTCGGGATAATATATTTCATTATTGTCCCTAATGGAACTTGGGATCATTCAGTCATGTTTTCCTCAGAACATTTTGAGAAGGTGTTACCTTCAGCTAAAATGAAAAGTTACCAAATTTTCCAGAAAATAAACTAGCTCAGTGTGACCACAGAGCAAGAAAAACAGTATCCTAAGGACAGCCTGGCCAGGGGTAGGGGATAGGAGGGAATCTGGCTTCTGGGTATAGGGTTTCCATCTTGCTTTGGAAGGAATCGCTGCTCACAGCAAGCAGGAGCACTCGTGGGCCTTGTGCGTGCTAGGCCGACTCACTACCATTGATCCATACTCCTAGACTCGTCTTCTGCTTTTAAACTTAACCTGTGGCTTTCATTGTATTGAAGGTGATCTTAAATGAGGAAAACAGGCGTGAGGACAGAATTTCAGACAAAACTTCTCCGGGATTAAGCAACCCAGCTTCCCAAGAGGTGTTCTTAGCAACTTTCTTTTTTATTATTGCCACTTTTCTATTAGTATTTCTTCGGGCTGGCTTCCGTGTGTGATCACAGAAGGTCAGATGGCCCTAGTGGGAATCTTCTTGTAAGTTCATAGAGCAGCTCTGACCAGTTGACATCTTGCTGGAGAAATGGAGTGAGATGCTTCTCTGGAGGGCTGGGATTTTCACACATGTTGTTTATTTTAGACCATGTGTAAACTCCTTTGACCTGTGAGTCTGTCCCTAGAAGAAGAACATGGCCATGCCTTTCTTGAGTGCCATTTAGTGACATGTGCAGAGTACTGTCTTCCTTCGGTGCTCAGAAGCTTGGGGTGCACACACATACTGGTGGCAGAGACGTGGCCAAGCCTGAGCTTCCAGTAGATCCTCTGGAGTCTGACATACATCTCCCCCCACAGGGATAATGGCTTCAGTCTTACTCTGGTTTTGATATTAAAGATACCTAAATTCACAGGCTCTTTCATTGATCTTTATTCTGGCATTTGGGGACCCTAATAGGGGGCAGTGTAGAATTCAGTTTTCTGTTTAACACTTCCGCACTGGTTTGAACCATCAGTGGTACATGTATGACATGTCTCATTGGACAGCATAAGACAGTCTCTTCAGGTGGTACAGGGCGCCTAAGGGGACAGTCATGCCTGTGCAGTCCCATCATGAACATATTACACTGCTTTATCATAAGACTTGGGGAACATCCATCGAGAGAAGCCAGATGAGGAAGGGAAGGATACTTCTCTTCCTGTTTCTGCCACTGGCCACGTCATTCATAAATCTCTCACAATATCAGTTCTCTCATTTGTCAAAAGAGGATCGAATCATAGTTTTAAATGTGTAGAGTATGTGAAATTTTAAACTTGAAGCCAACATTCTCTCTATGAAATGGCCCTAGGGAGGGGCTATGTGGTGATACAGAACTATGAAGAAATAGTGGTATGCCAGTATGGAAGCCACTTAGAATTTCTGTGCAGCTACTTCCCCAAAGAGGTAAGTCTGTGCTGTCTGTTTGACTGATGTTTGAATGTTGTGCCTCTACCATGGCTTTAAATTTTATGTTGAGGGATAGGACTAATTTTAACCAAATAGAGGTATACTGACTAGGTCATGCTTTTCTTGAAGTAGATATTTCTATTTTAGGGAGGGCAGTGTATAGTAAATATCAACCTGTTGTGTACTGCATGAAGAACAGACTATTACTTGAACCGTGATATAGCCTTTGGTTACAGGATGCTGGCGTGAAGAAGTCTGTCTGCTGAGATCTTCATTCATACTTTTCACAAAGCCTGAAGTCTGACTTGTCATTCCTGGAGAGGATGACTCTCTGGATCTTTGTAATATTGATGACAGTGAAGGAAATTGGCGCAGCCATGAAAAGGGTTTTCCTTGCAGAGGCTAGTACAGTCCCCGGCTTCCCTGGGAAGCAGTGGCATCCGGCATTGCCTCTGCCCTTCCCAGGCTGGTTGGTTTTGTCTGTCACCTGTGCTCACCTCTGGCCAGCCTGGTAAGCATGGGGTCAGAGCCCTTGTGGCTCCCGCTTCAAGCAAGTTCATTTGTAAGTGGCTTTGAGGGAGGTCTCCTTTGGCCACAGATTACATGAAACAAAATGTAAAAAAAAGTCACCAATATTACTACTTAGTATTCTGGTGACTTTAAGCTCTCGTTAAGTGCTTCTTTTTAGCATGTTCATGGTGCTCAGCAGTCAGCTTCTTGTAAGTAACTTTCTATCAGTGGTGTCTTCCCCAAGGTGGCCTCCGCTTCTCACAGGCATGCCCTTCGGCACGGAGATGGGAGAAAGGAGCTTGCTGGGAGCCCCTTCCTGTCTGAGCTGACCTGCCAGCAGGCCTCCATAGCCTCGGACAGGGGGGAAGATGCTTGCCGGCTGCTCTTTCCTGACCTGGAGATGCATGGTGGATTTCATTCCTAGGTGGGGATTCTGTACCTTGCCAGAGATGCCACACACTTCTCCCTGGTTTTGCTGATGGCTACATTTGGTATCAAGTGTTGCTTTACACTCTCCTCCAGATTGTCTTGATATTTAAAGTTTCAGAAACTAAATGAGTTAAAAATTTGTTTTGTGAATTAGTGATGCTCCAGATATTGAGAGGTTCTGTAGGTCAGTAGTTCTAAGTGCTTCACAAAGTACTTATCCTCAAGCTGTTCATGAATATGAAGTAAAATGTGGATCCTATGATTGAATAAGTTTGGGAAATGCTAAAGGAAAATTGAGTTGTGTCTATTTCCAATAGGATTTCCTAAAGCCTTAAAAATTAATAGGCTTTGTGAACTCTTTAGGGCAGCATATGCCATACAGTGTTTCCTGAATTTGATACCCTGAAGAAATGTTTTTTCTCTCAAGAAACCACAGCACAAGTGTTCCAAGGAACTCTGTTAAGAAATGCTGCTCTGGAGTATTGCTCAGAGGACTCTGGCGTCCTTCTCCCATTCCTCCTGATTTGCCTTTCTCATGTAGGCAGTGTTC